CGACTTTGGCCTATCATATGCAGTGCCCAACAAAAATAAGGTGTCCATATGGGAGTTATATGAGCCGCTCATTTTCTCGATGCTTCCCAATCCTACATCTACATGGCTACATATATGCTAATTAACTGGATTCATTCAGTCTACCTAGCTAGCTCGTGCCATGTCTCAAAATCTCTATGAAAGTTAAACCTTCTGAATTTGAAGCATGGTGTTTCATCTATAATTGCATGAGTAGAACTGAATGTCTGCATATGCACTTGTGCACCCTCTCTACCTTATCTCCACCTCACTATATATTTACATGGGTGCAGCTACTTCCATTGATTCATGTTGTACGGTTTGATCCTCATATTAAGTTATTTCGTCAATTCAATAATAATCCTAGAATATAAGATACAACTACCACTAATTAATGCAAGGACAATGCATGCACCGATAGGATTAGAGGTTTTAAAGGTGATGGATTTAAAAAATGATTTTAGGGAAGGGAGAGGTACTAAATAATTGCATGCATGTATGCGTGTTTTAAATTATGAAACATGAAAAGAGTAGGCATTTTTTATATATATATTAGGATGGATGAAGTACTTGGAAGTACTAAAATATCGATCATATAAATTTTGAGAAGGCAACAGGACATTAACTTTGGAAGCAGAGATGGAGTACAAAAGAAAAGAAAATTAACTGGCCAAACCGTATCTAAAGTTGTAAAATATCTATGCGTACGCTTACATAGTTAATTAATTAGGTGTATTTATGAGCAAAAAGCTAGAGATATTTTCATGCTTTTTAAAAAGTATAGAAATATTCTTTTGACACAAAAAAGTATGGTAATATTGAGACGTAGGGTAGATGGATTTCTAACTAAAGTTTTACGAATTATAAGTTAATTTAATGCAGAATATAAAATACAAACCAATATAAAAGTTGCAATGCATAAAAACAAAAGTTACGCTTTTTTATATTCTGAAAGTTTTAGGCTAGTTAATTATCACATTCAAGTTTAGGTAAATGATTGATAAAAAGGAATCAGGCATAGATACAAGGGAGCACTTGTAGCTTCTGCAACTATCTTAACAGCTCGAGCTGGTTTTTTCTATGAATGCATATCAGCAAGTTATCCATCCTGCCATGATATATTCAAGTGTGCAGAGGTGAAGCATCTATCAAATAGGTAATTTCAAACTGGAAATTCACTCAGTGTTGAGGAAAAGCATGCGACTTGGGCCTTCCAGGTAGGATAAGCAAGTGAGCTCAAAAGATTTTCCCGCTTGCTAGAGAAAAAAATGAGCTAGAAGTAGAATAACCGGGCAAAAAAATCCTGCTTGCTCGCCCGCCGCTCACATTTACTTTCAGGCAGCTAGGAAAGAATCCTAAATGCAGCACACATGTTCTCGATGCTTCCCAATTCTACATTTATAATCGTTCATTCCACTACTTTATTCCCTCCGTTCCAAAAGAACCCAATCCTGAAAACCAATCTCTAGGATTAGGTTTTTTTTAAAGGACGAAGGGAGTAGATTGAAAGGCTCCTGTGTACCAGGAGCATGAAAAAATAAATAAGTGACCTTTTACAGTGTTTGCATTCCTAAAATGGCATAGATCTAACAGCTCACGATGAAAGGTACCTTATGAAAGGTATCAGAGGTAGAAAGGTACTAAGGATTAAAAGGTAATTGATAACAGGGCAATTATGTCTAACAACGTATGGACGTACCGAAAGGTACGGTGTAAGTGGATTTAAAGGTACCACAAGGTACTGCGTAAGTAGTTTTTAAAGGTAACGTAAAATATGATTTATGTGGTGGGGACAAAAATTACATTCTCTTCTATTCGGTTTCCAATCTTCGGTCGTTCTGTTTGCGTCGGTTTCTAAACTTTGGTCCGATTTACGTGGTACATATCATATTCGCATGATCTTGATAATTATTTCCAGTTAGTCGTTAATTTTCATAGCAATTTGGTGATCCATCGTTTGATGAATGTAATCAAAGATCGAAAGGACAACAAATTGAGAAGATTTACGCACCTAACAAGAACAAAACAAGTTCAATGAGGAAGATTTGCGAAAAAAACTAAACCAATCGTCTAATAGATCGAGACCGTGCGGCCGCTTCTAGCTCCGGCGAACATAGGCAGTCCTGGACCACTTCCTCCGGGTCCTCTTCCTCCGCCGCCCCTCCCTCCAACCACCGCCTCCGGCCACACGTCCACCGCCAGCCCTCAATTCTCCACCTTTCAACTTATCGAAGAACACGTAAACCTTACGTACGAACAGAACGTATCTAAGAACAATGCAACGCAACAGGCTACAAGCTAATTCCTTCGATACCTTCTCATACCTTTTCATATGTGTAAAAGACACATTTGGCATTCTAATAACATCATATTTACATTAATGCCACCTATTACAATATTTTCTTTCCATACCTTGCCCCTCGCAGATCAACGGCTCACGTCGCCCCACCTCCTTGTACCTCACAAATATCGTAAAATCCCTCAACAAATAAACACACGGTAACAATATTGTTGTCGAGTGCCAGCGCATGGTAATAGAGACACACGGTGGCTTCATTGATTTACGATGCACACTTTCTCGATCGGTCTACCCAGCTCATGCTGTCTCTCGATCGGAATATCTAAAAATCAAACCTTCTGAATTGAGGCATATGTGTATATGTGCAGTCAAGCACCTTCCCACCTTGTCTCCGGTGTATGGCTGTGTTTAGTTCACACTAAAATTGAAAGTTTGGTTTAAATTGAAACGATGTGACGAAAAAGTTGAAAGTTTATGTATGTAGGAAAGTTTTGATGTGATGGAAAAGTTGGAAGTTTGAAGAATTATTTTGGAACTAAGACCCTGTTTAGTTGGGGAAAAGGAAATTTTTTGGTGTCATATCGGACGTTTGACCGGATGTTGGAAGGGGTTTTCGGACACGAATGAAAAAACTAATTTCAGAACTCGCCGGGAAACCGCGAGACGAATCTTTTGAGACTAATTAAGCCATCATTAGTACATGTGGATTACTGTAGCACTTATGGCTAATCACGGACTAATTAGGCTTAAAAGATTCGTCTCACGATTTCCCCCATAACTGTGTAATTAGTTTTTCTTTTTATCTATATTTAATACTCCATACATGTGTCCAAAGATTTGATATGATGTTTTTAGGAAAAACTTTTTGGGATCTAAACGGGCCCTAAACACGGCGTATATATATTGACCTGAATTGAAACATCTTGTCACATTGATTAATTGCTGTGTCAGTACACACTACAGGTTGATCCTCTGATCAAGTTATTTCCTGAGTTCCTCTAAAAAAAAAGTTATTTCCCGAGTTTAATTATACGTGGCTATATTAGTTTAATTTGGTTTCCTCTCCCATTTAGCTAAAGCAAATTAATGTAAGGAGAGTTGTTTTATAATGCTTTTCACCGGTAGTAAATCTATCTAGACCACTTTTTTTTCCAACTTAATGGATTATACCTACTTATATTACCACATCAATCGCTACCACTACAAAATTGATATTTAATTTCTGGACAAGACCCTCCTTAGATTTTAGACGGTTCATAAGTGCTCTCATCTGCGAAAATAGTTTCCGTACGCTTTCGTAGTTATTAATTAGGTGTATTTATGAGAAAAGGCTAGAGATATTTTTACGCTTTTTAATACAGAAATATTCTTTTGACACAAAAAAGTATAGTAATGTTGAGACTTAGAGTAGATGGATTTCTAACTAGTTAATTTAATGCAGAATATAAAATGCAAACCAATCTAAAAGTTGCAACGTATAAAAACAAAAGTTACACTTTTTTATATTCTGAAAGTATTAGATTAGTCATTACGTTCAAGTGCAGGCATGAAGCGTCTATCAAATACTCCCTCCGTTTCAAAATATTTGACACCGTTAACTTTTTAGCACATATTTGACCGTTCGTCTTATTCAAAAAACTTTGTGAAATATGTAAAACTATATGTGCACATGAAAGTATATTTAACAATGAATCAAATGATATGAAAATAATAAATAATTACTTAATTTTTTTTGAATAAGACGAATGATCAAACACGTACTAAAAACTGGAATAAAAAATGGAAGGAGTAGTAGGTAATTTCAAACTGGAATCACGCAGTACTAAAAGACATGCGACTTGGGACTCTAAGGCAGCTAGCTAGTACTCCCTCCGTTCTGACGCCGTTGACTTTTTACCACATGTTTGACCGTTCGTCTTATTCAAAAAATTTAAGTAATTATTAATTCTTTTCCTATCATTTAATTCATTGTTAAATATATTTTTATGTAGGCATATAATTTTACATATTTCACGAAAGTTTTTGAATAAGACGAACGGTCAAATATATGCTAAAAAGTCAACGTGTCAAACATTTCGAAACGGAGGGAGTAGAAAAGAATCTTAACTGCAGCACATGTTCTCGATGCTTCCCAAGCCTACATTTGCTCTATCTCTCGATCGATCGGAATCTCTGAAAATTAATCCTTTTGAATTGAAGCATGGATCGATTCATCTATACCAGTACTTGCATGAGTTGAACTGAATGTCCGTGTATATATATATATGCAGTTGTGCACCTTTCCAGTCTAATATTGATCTCAATTGAGCCACCTTGTTACAATATTGATTGCCGTGTTAATTAGTAGTACAGTTTGATCCTCTAATCAAGTAATTTCCTTATTTAATAAGTGATTATTTGGTTAATTTGGTATCAAGTGATTATTTGGTTAACTTGGTATTGATTGCCGTCTTAGTACAGTTTGATCCTCTGATCAAGTTATTTTCTTATTTAATACGTGGCTTCTATTGACAATAGTATTAGTAGAGACTAAAGAAGAACCCTGGCTTAGGGACCCTAGAAAAAGGCAAACGGTTCAGATTATGTGAAATTCACTCGGTGGAGTTGAGTCCAACTCCAAGTCTAACTATAGAAACTGTGTTTCTACTTTCTAGCTATCTACTACTTATGCATTTAGTACTTGACTAAACTCGACCAAACAAAAATATCAATTAGAAAACTTTTGACGACCTGGGAAAGAATTTAATTTGGATTGACAGAGATTACATATGAGAAAGAAAACTCGGCCATGCATTTTCTATAATAAACACAATGACTCGGTGAGATTACTTTGACACTAACACTAATGACCAATTTTGCAGAAACTAGTTTGACTTAATACCCACTAATTAAAAATCTAGCTAAACTAATTGTTTCATGACGAGTTCAGTCAAAACTGAAGGACATGTTGCCTTCAGATGCTCGAAGCCATCGGTAGCCATGGCCGCCTTGAGGTTGCCCGGAGAAGACAAGAACTCGACGCAAGCCTCCTTGAGCGCGCGGCAATGGTGCTGCTCCGCCAGCGCCAGCGTCACGGCGACGTTGCCCATGGCGACGCGGCGGCGCAGCCTGTCCTCGCAGATCAGCCTCAGCCTCTCCATCCCGTACGCGTCCGCCGCGGCGAGCAGCCGCCGCGCCATGGCGTCGTCATCGTCGTCGTCGTCGGGCAGCGTGTCGGTGTAGATGAAGTGGAGCAGCGCCCTGAACGCGTCGGCGTCCATGGCGGCGAGCCGCAGCGTCGCCGGCGACGACGGCGAGGCGGAGAGCTTGGCCTTGAGTACGGGTGACCTCGCCGCGAGCACCCACCGGTGCGCGTGGAACGTCGTCGTCTCGCCGTCGCCGCCGTCTAGCTCGATGACGACGTCGGCGCCTTCCTTGCTCCAGAGGAGCTCAGCGAGGTGCCGGTGCAGGTCGGACGGCGGCACGACGACGCCAGCGTCGGCGCCGGCGGCGAGAGCCTAGTGATGATCCAGATCGACGGTGAGCAGGTGTTCGTCCATGACGGTGAGGTCGCAGCGGACGGCGAAGCGGTCGTCCCTGAGGATGTCCGGCGACCTCTCGAGCTCGTCCCTCGTGATGAGGCTCCTCTGGCCGGAGAAGTGCGTCCTGAAATCCACCACCTCCGACGAGGCGTCGTCGGTGCGGCGCGCCGGCGAGCCGGCGTGGTCGAGCACGCTGAACCGGGCATGGCCGGCGATGCCGCTCCGGCCGCAGCCGCCGCCGCCGGCGACGTCGACGAAGAGGGAGATGGAGTCGGCGCAGCCGTCGTCGAGGCCGTTGGGGTAGTATCGCATGACGAAGCTGTGGCCGCCGACGGCGAACCTCCTCGACGTGGCGGACTCGCCGGTGGCGAGGATGCTCTTCGTGTTGGTGTACCCGTCGATCCTGAGGATGTGGGACCCGGTCGCCGGCCGCGACACGATGGCGGAGGCGGACGGCGGCGAGGCACGGCAGCCGGCGACGCCGCGGCGGATGGCGGCGGAGAGCAGCGAAGCACACGACATGAGACGAGAGTTTGGAACGTACTACAGATCGATCAGCCAATGATGATATGATATGTTGGCAGCAAATTGTAGAGATTTTTACGGTTCAGATAATTTTTTGGTGGTTATGGAGATTCTGACTCAAAGATTACAACTAAAAAAATAAAGATTATGATCGTATCTTGGATTTCAAGTTTATGACTTCGGTTTCCAACTAATTTACTGATATGATATTATCCAACAAAAACTTATCTTAACCTCTATGTTTATCTGTAGAAATGAATCCTTGAATCTTCAGGTCCTACTCGAACATTTTCTCCTGCATGTGTGCTTCATCTTTCACCATCTTCTCTTCATTTTCTCTGAAGAAATGTGGTGTCGGATGGTTGGGAAGATAATCTTTCACCATATTTTCTTCATTTTCTCTGAAGAAATGTGGTGTCGGATGGTTGGGAAGTAGAGCGGTTGCATCTGCAATGGCAGCTTCCAACACCTTCACCTCTTGAACCCTAGCTCCCTCGCAATTAATCCATACATTGAGATCCATAAGAGAGGTGAGGTTGCGAATGCCAAGATCAGGATGATCAGCGAATGCAGATTTTGCCTTGTGTGCTCTAACAACAACCGAGATTTCTCTGACCTTCTGCATGGATCCATCCTCGAAGATCAGGCCGACGAACGATCCATACAGACGGAAGATCTTCAGGCATCGGAATATGCATTTGCTGATAATGAGAATTTCCATGGGATCATCTGATTCTGAACGCAGCTCCAGGTCTAGCAATGCAGGCAAGTCTCCAAGGATCTGGAGGATTTGCTTTGTCACTTGCTTAGACCTGATGCATAGCCTGTAGAGATTATTCATTGAAGCCATCCAATCTGGGATCCTTTGGAAACAGCATTTCGGAATGTATAATTCCTGCAGGAGATGAGGAGATGATGACCAAGACCAAGAATCAAAGGGGATGTAACCAGAAAAAGGTCCATTGATAATGCTCAATGATTCAAGGCTGGAACTGACAAGTTTGCCAAGTGATGAAGCCAAGCTATCAGTATAATGTGTTCTATCCTTGCGCGATTCGCGAATGTACCAAGTTAGCTTGAGAGTTCTCAGGCTGTTCAAATTTCCCAGCTCCAGCAAAGAATTTGTTGAGCATTCGTCGTACACGGTTATACCTGACAGTTCCTGTAGAGATTGCATTTTTCCGACTCCGTCAGGTAACTGTGCACCATTAGCAGAAAAACAGCTCAACCGTCGCAATTTGACAATGCCTGCTGGCAATTTTCTTATCCATGTACGACGCAGGTCCAATGTTTTGAGAAACTGAAGCTCCCCAATTTGTTCTGGAAGATGTGTGATTCTACTGGCTGCAATCCGTAAGTACCTTAACTGAAATAGATCCACCACGTTGTTAAGATCAGAGTTTTGCAATTTCACACTGCTCTCTAGATCCAACACTCTTAAAGCTTTGAATTCTGAAATAGGAGGCATTTGTTCAGAGTATCCAAATATGCTAAGGGATCGAACATGAGCTAACATCAGGGATGGCCATGATACAGAAACTTCTTGCCCAGAGTAGTCAACAGAGAGTCGGCGAATCTTAGCTTGAGATGCCAATCTATGTGTTTCATCACCAATGGAAGTCGAAAAATTTTCATCTACTGCCTTGGATACGATGAGATCAAGAATCATATCATGCACACGGCAAGCCTTTGGTTGACCATCAATCCCAATATCTACTGGCTGGATCATACTTCTGTTTATAAGTTCATTAAAATAGCATTTCCCTTCCACCATTAAATTTATCCCACTTTTGTCCTTGATGAACCCTTCTGCTATCCACCTCCTTACCAGCTGATGCATATTTATCTTATAATCTTCTGGATAAATGCTTAGATATAACAAGCATGTCTTCAAATGGAGGGGGAGATCACTGTAACTAAGGGATAAAATACTTCTCATTACCTCCAGATCGTTTTTTTTCTCGAGTCCTGAACCAATTGAATTCCGAATGCGAACCCATTCTTCTCTTCTATCTGATTTATCAGCCAATAGGCTAGCCATAGTAATAATTGCCAATGGCAGACCACCACACTTTTTTATAATTTCAGTTGAAACATCTTTAAGGTTAACTGGGCATAGATCTTCTGAGCCGAAAATTCTTCTGAAGAATAGACACATGGAGTCAGCTTCACTTAGTGGCCTTAATTCATAAACTGTACCATGATCAGGGGAGCAACATGACTTGGCAACAGTAAAAATTCTTGTTGTCACTAGTATCCTGCTACCACAAGTATTCTCAAACAAGGCAAATTTAATGGTCATCCATTCTTGCGTGCTCCATATATCATCAATTACGATCAAATACCTAGCAAATGAGAGATACAACGATTTAATATGGAACAAATCACTGACATAAGTATGGCCTACTGTACATACTTATTCTCTAATCTATTTATGTGCACAACATGTACATCAATCACTGACATAATGTTGCAATGAAATTACAATTTTGCCTACTGGTAGAATGACATGTAAATTCAAACAGAGTTAATGCTAAATGGCACGTAATTTGAAACAGAGAGCTTACCTCTTGTCCTTCAGGAAAACCCTCAGTATGTTTATGAGCCACTCCACATCACCAGATTCTGTGCTACTGTAATCTTGCTTCTTGATTTGAGAAATTACAGCTTTATCTGGATTTGTGCTAGCATGGTATGGTTCCATGATTTGACAAATTATGCTCCGTAAAATCTTCTTTACATCAGGCTTCTGGGAGACCGACACAAAAGCCTGACAATCAAATCGCCCACCAGTTTTTTTGTAAACTTCATTTGCAAGGGTAGTTTTGCCTAAGCCTCCAACTCCTACAATTGAAATCACCTTGAATGACTGATCACCATCATCTACCAGGTTAATCAGCTGATCCCTTGGAATATCAATACCAACTAGATTCGATGCCTCAACATAGAGTGCAGGTAATCGAGGATCAATGGGCACCACATTTGTGGTTTCAGAGTACAATTCAGGATCAATCTTGTACCTCTTCCTTCTGTGGCTTGCCTCAACAATGTCATCCTTGAGAACTTTTATCTGCTGAGCGACCTCGCGTCGAGCTAGCAGCTCCTTCACCTTGTGAACATAGTCATGGAAGAATCCCACAATTCCAGTAGGTCTCTGTGGCTCGTAGTGTAGCTGGTAGATGTACCTGTCGATGCAATCCTCGATGTCGTAGGCCATCTCCCTCACTTGGTTCCTCCACTCCTCCATCTGGGGGTCAAGCACCTCCATGCCGGCCAGTTTCTCCAGCAGAGCATTCATGCAGCTCAGCTCACCATTCAACAAGGCGATGTCGCGCTGTACCCCCTTGTGCAGCCTGAATTCCTGACCCAGCAGCGTGGTGAGCTTGTCGATTAGGGAGTTCATCGCCCCCGTGGCGACGCTCACCATGAACCCATCCATCGCCTCTGCTGGTCTTCTGCACTCTTGGACGAGTTTGCACCTGAGGTCAATCCTGTTCAGAAACAATGAAGTTGAAAGCAATTATCAGTTGGCATAACACTATCTTGTTTATGCCAAGGATGCTGAAAGTTCAGATCTCTGAATATTACAAACATCTAACCATGTTAATGAGAGATCAAGAAAATATACCTTCCCTGTGTCTTCCTGCTCTTGGCTTCAGACTACCAGGAGTTCATGGAGATGTGCAAACCTCTCTGCAATGGGCAATGAGAAAGTTGCAAGTGGAGGAGATGCAAGAAGGAAACACGGTTTAGTTGACTAATTATTGGTGAAAGCGACTGGAGTAATTCACTGGAAGGTGAGCTGAGGAATTTGCAGGGCAGCAGGTGGGACCCACATGTCATGTCAGTAGGCCAAAGCCACTCATGTCATGTGCTGCTGAAGCATCTTTGTCAATCACCAGGCCAACTTGTCCACATTGTGGCGTCAGTGTCACCTGTTCTGTGAAATATCAGGACATCAGAAGAGTTGTTGATAACAACAGAAACACTTGAGTTTCCAGAATTAACTGCAAGCTTAACTGCTAATACTGCCACGCAAAGAAATGTATTTTACTTATATGACAGAAGAGTACACTCTTGCCTTCTGAATCAAGGTGCATACAGATACAGCCACCAAGAATCATATAAAGGAGCCAAAAGAAAGTATGATCTGAAAGTTAAACCAAGAAATCTTAAGTAAAACCAGGCATGCATGTACCTTTGCTGCCTAGATGTAAACAAAAAAAATCAGTATTTTCATAGATAAAATTATGCAAGATTGATATAGGAGCAAGTTTGAAGTGTTATAAACAAGCCCCCAGATCCAGTAATCTTGATTATTAGGTTGCATATATCTGTAATGCTACACAAGTGTATATATCAAATAAAATGAAATTTAGACTTTTTAAGGCTAATTACACAAGAAACAGCGGTTCAAGTTTCAAACATCATGTTGACATCAAAGTAAGACAAATGTCAGGAAAATACATAAATCCTGGTTGCTGAATAGAATACAAAAGAAGTACAGAGTTCATAGTAATCGACTGGTTGCCTATTTGCATAAAAGGACAGCTGATGGACTCCCATATTCCATTCTGAAGAATAAAGGCACACTTGTGGCATTCGCTCCATTGTTCAGGAGTGTTGAATCAGCCATGCAGTATTCTGTCTGTCGATATGTTGTACATACACTGGGGTTTAGAAGTTAGAACTAACTGTTTGACCTAAATCCACTTCTGTGTTGAGTGTTGTGAATTGTGATCTGAAACAATTGAACAGGAACATCTCACGTCAAAAAAAAAATTGAACAACATATCATTTCTTGTTTTGGAAGAATTCGGTCATAAGCCAGTTTTTCTAACTCAGTACAAATTACAAATGGACATTGCTACATTACAGAAATCAAATATGTGAAAACTGAACTAGAACCCAAGAGTATTAAATAAGAGTTGGTAACAGAGGTGTGAGTCGTCTATGGCAGTCAACAAAATAGAGACAGTTATTACGTGCATTCATCCTGGAAGTTGGAAGTTTCAGTTCGCCAGTTAACTGAGCTAGTGCAACTGCAAGCAAGAGCTTAAACTTATAAATGAAAAATAAATTTAAAGTCTAGTTCCACCAGCAACTGCTAACATGACTAACTAACTAATCCGCTTTACCTGGAAATAATCAAAAGTCACCGTTTGAAGTCCCATGTGTATCATCAACAGAATATCGTTCTAATGAGCAGTCACTATTAAATAGGTACCTTGATTACAATTGCAGATGCAGGGTTAGCCAGAGCTTTTAAGTTGCTTCTTGTCCTACAGGTTACCCTGGTTATTCTTTACCATCTCTGCTTCACGAAATCTGTGTAAAGTTAGTGTAGGATGGTTAGGAAGAGTACTGGCTGCAAGCCAGATAGCAGCCTCTAATGCCTCCACATCTTCAATTCTTGCACACTCGCAGTATATATTGATGATGAGGTTCCTGATGGAAGAGAGGTGGCAGATACCGAGATCAGGAGGACCAAATCCACATTCAGTCCGTGCCTCATGTGCTATTATTTGGAATTCAAGAGTCTCAAGCATTGGCATGGCTCCTTCCTCAAACACAAGATTCATCCAGTGGACAAATTTGAACTTCTGCAGGCACCGAAATCCACAGTTGCTGACAGTGAGCCACCTATCACCGTAGTCTGCTGCATTTGAGTATAATTCCAGAAACTGCAAAGCTGGAAAATTCCCAAGGATCTGGAGGGTTTCTTGTCTGACTTTAACCTCGATATCTAGGTACGTGAGGTCGGCCAGTGAGGCCATCCACACTGGAATCCTACTGAGATACCAACCTGTGATTCCTAACCTCTGAAGGAGATGAGGAGGTGGGGACCAAGAATCCAATAAAAAATCAAGGGACCATGGACTGATGAGAGTCAAATACTGTAGGTTAGATCTACCGAGTTTTCCAAGTGATGAAACAAAATTATCCGCGTATGTAAGTTTTTCCTTGTGGAAATCACCTATGCGCCAATCCAATCCAAGGGTTCTCAATTTGGTCAAAGTGCCCAGCTCCTGTAATGAACTTACAGAGGTACTGTAGTCTACAACCACAAGTGACATATACTCTAAAGCTTGCAAGTTCCCAACTCCATCTGGCAACTCAACACGATGAACAACTAAACATTTTAAATGTCGAAGTATCACGATGCTTGCTGGCAATTTGCTTATACCAATACAGTTGAGAAGATCCAGTATTACCAAAAACTGCAGCTCACCTATTTGATCTGGGAGAGAAATATTACTTGCTCTAATCCGTAGGTACCTCAACTGAAATAACTTCCCAATATCCTCAAGATAACTGCTTTCCAAATTGTTATTTCCATCTAGATCCAGCATTCTCAAGGCTGGGAAATTAGAAAGAGGAGGCATTTGTTCACTGTATCTAAATATATTCAAGGATCGAACATGAGTAGTAACCATGGAATATAATGTCACATCTTCTTGACCATAGTTGTAAAATGAGAGTCGGTGAACTTTGTCTTTTGAGACCAACATTTGTTTTCTGTCAGTAACGATAGTAACAAAATTTTCTTCAGTTGCTTTTGATATAATGAGATCAAGTATCATATCATGCACCTTACATGAATAAACTCTACCATCGTACTGGGTATGTACTGGTTGGATCATGCTTCTGTTTATAAGTTCATTAAAATAGCATTCACCTTCTTCCTCAAAAGTTCTTCCACCATTAGCCTTGATGAATCCTTCTGCTACCCACCTTCTTACCAGATAGTCCCTGTTGATCACATAATCCTCTGGAAACATACTTAGATACAATAAACAAGTCCTTAAATGATGAGGAAGATCATAATAACTCAGAGATAATATCATGTTCATCTCCTCCACATCAGAATTTTTCTCAATTCCTGAACCAATTGAATCCCGCACCTTGAACCACTCTGCTCTTACATATGATTTAGTAGTCAACAAACTAGCCATAGAAATTATTGCCAATGGTAAACCACCACATTTCCTCACAATTTCAACTGCAATATCTTTCAATTGATGAGGGCATTTATCTTCAGAACCAAAAATTCTTCTGAAAAATAACCTTTTAGAGTCATCTTCGCTCAGCACTCTTAGTTCATATACAAGATTAAGGCAAGGGGAGGAACATGACTTTGCAACAGTACCTATTCTTGTTGTCACTAATATTCTACTGCCACAATTATTCTCAAGCAACGAATATCTAATGGTCTTCCATGCTTGGGCACTCCATATGTCATCTATCACAATAAAATACCTAAGAAACAAAATAAAGTTATAATTCAATGGTGAGGTTTTTGCAAGAAAGCCTATAGATTAATATATGCATAGTATTATATGAAATGTGTGACAAATTTTGTTTAGAAATGCAAAATTCTTTTTTTTTGTTTTAATTTGTTTCCTATCAAGATAGAAGTTCTCAATTACAGGAAAGTCTTTGTGATTGGTACATGGGTGGATACCGCTTTTCATGTTGTAAATTATAACAGATAGTCTATTAGCTGGTGGTGTCAAATACAGATAATGATAAAAGTTACTAGTGTATTTGAAGCTAGAGCGGATAAATTTATCATATTGGAATACCTCTTGTTCTTCAGGAAAGCCCTCAGTTCATTGATGACCTGCTCCTTATCCCCTGATCTGATTGTACCAACCTCATCATTGACTTGGTAGAGTATGGTTTCAAAGATCATTCCCATGACAGGATGCTGCGAAAGTGACACAAAAGCTTTGCAATCAAATTGGTTCCCGATTTTTTGGTACACCTGATTAGCAAGAGTGCTCTTGCCTAATCCTCCTGAACCCACAATTGAAACTACCTTCATCCTCTGCTCCCCATCATCCAATGACTTAATGATCTCATCCCTCGGACCGTCAATACCAACGAGAGCATCCAACTCCGCATACAGCGCAGGCAACCGACGATCAATTGGCACAACATGATTACTTTTACAGTTAACTGCTGAATCAAGCTTGTACCGCTTTCGCCGCTGTCCTGCCTCGACAATCCGAGCCTTGAGCTCCTGAATCTGCTCGGCAATCTCATGCCGACCGACAAGGTCCTTCACCTTCTGCACATAGCCACTGAAGAACCCCATGATGCCATTGCCACCGGGCCTCTGCGGCCGCCCATGGCGGAGCTGGCGCGTGTACTCGTCGATGCAGTCCTCGATGTCATAGCTCATCTCCCTCACCTGGCTCCTCCACTCCTTCGTCTGCGGATCGAGCGTCGCCTCCGTGTCGGCCAGCCCCTCGAGGAGCGCGTTCATGCTGCTCAGCTCATCTTTCAGGAAGGCGATCTCGCGCTTCATCCCCTTGTGCATCTGGTAGTCCTCCTCCAGCAGCGCGGCAAGCTTGGCGAGGAGCGAGTTCATCGCCCCGGTCGCCGCGCTCACCATGATGCCATTCCCCTCCATCTCCTGCTCAAAATCTTGAGCAGAATCAATGGGCCACCCAAGCAATTGCGAGCTGTTACATACACATGACATCCAAAGTGTCCCAGAGAAATCAAGAACAGGTTCTTGGCCACAAAAAAACGAAAAAATCAAAGAACATTTCGTGCCATTGGTACGCACCTCCTCTCCTCACGCTAACTCGCTGAACTTGCCAAGAAATTGGACTTGTCGCCTTGGTCTGGAAAAGAAAAAAGAGGATTTGAGGAGAAGCTGCTGCCAAACAGAAGCTAGGTCGTTGGTCAATGCGGCGAGCAAGTAAAAATTGGGGGGCGTTTTGGTGGGTGGTGGATGAGGTGATGGGGGATACGTTACGTGGCGCCGCAGGGGGAGAGACAGACCTGACCTCTCGGCTGCTGCCTCGCACGCGGTGAGGTCGTCGGGACCGGCCGCCGCTGGAACCGTGGCCGCCATTGCCGCGCCTGCCTGCAGCAGCACATCGGGCCGCGCTCGCCATGCGGTTGTGGGGGGGGCGGGCGGGCATGGGGATGCGGGTACCGGCGCTGAACGCCGTCGAGCAAACCGCCGCCGTTGCCGCTAGCCCTCCGGCGGTCGGGCGCCATTGCCCCGCGCGGCGAGCTCATCGAGATTGAAAGAAAAAAAAAAGGTAGATTGCACTTTGGCCTCACTATGTTTGGACAATTTCGGGACTGTTCGTATTGTAGGTAAAATAAATCATATTAAATTTTGGCAGGATTTGTTATGTTTTTATTAAATTTGACAATAAACTAAACGTAAATATTTTTTTAGCAAACTTTGTAAAAAAAATAATATGTTTGAAAATGGCATCAAAGTAAACAAGCCCCTTCGTTTTTATCCTTTTAGGTTTTCGTTTTTACTGTCGCTTTTTTAAATTGAATAAAACGTTTGCCCCTGTTTTTAACAGCGGTTAGTGAAACCGAATTTGCGGTAAAGAAATAGATAAAAAAGAAATAATGGTCTTTTAAAATTAGTGACAGACCTTTTTACCCCTATTAATTTGCAAGCACCCTGGCAAACGGCCTTGAAATGGATCCCGAATTCCCCTTAAATAGACGCACTACTTGACGGTTCGTATTTCAAAGGAAAGGAGAGATATTGCCGCAGAAAATTTATGGCGCCCGTTGCGGGAGGTCGTTTAGACTTCAAATTAAATTCATGATTCAGACCGTTGAACTCCCTTTAGCGTTGTCGATAACTCCATGTCTCTACGGTCTTACACCAGAATCAACCAAGCAAATACGACAAGGCGCTGACAGGAGCAATCGCGGATAACAACATGAATTCATTTAAGTTGAAGTCGAGGGCTACTGTCAAAATTACGGATAAGGCATATCTCACATCCTATGATTATGGAATATACGAATACGGCACGCACACAGGTTGTCTCCGTGCGTGTTATAGGAATTTGATATGAATTATGAAAAGTATCCTCATGAGTCGGGTGACTAACCAAGTATTACTCGGTGTGGATAGAGTTTCTATTGTATCGTACGAGGTCCGATATCTCCGAGTCTTACTTGGAGATCAAGATGATGCACGGTATAAAAGGGACCCCCTTGGATGGTTGCAAGGCATCGAATCTTATCGCCAACACACCTACCACAGCCTACGAAGCCGGAGTACGCGGAGTCAAGTCGCCGGGAGATCTCGTCAAATACATCGATTACGAATTACGTATATAAACTGGACTATGGCTACCTAATAAGGGGCCTGAACCAGTATAATCCTTGTCTTCTGTTTGCTTAATGTCGAATTACGTATATCCTCATTCCAACGTACCTCAATACCCTAATTATCCGGTCTATAAGTATCACTCCTCGACACATACAAAGTCAAAAAAAAAATGTGGGATATGGGATTCAAATTTAAGATCTCTCACCTTAACCCTCACGTGCATTACAATCCAACTTTCTACACACATCTGACTTGGATAGAGATGTTTTCTTTTTAATTAATCCTGAAGCCATCTTTAGTACCGATGGGTGTTGCAACACCAACCGGTACTTAAAAAAATATGTTTCGTCCGGATTGGTGTTACCAACCGGTACTAAAAATATCGGTACTAAATATGTATTTTTAGTACCGGTTGGTAACACTACACGGAACTAAAGATGTTTCTGAGACTTGGACTATTAGTACCGGTTATAAATCTAACCGAAATATTTATGTTTTGGGTAATACGATAAAATATCTGTTCTGGACTAGTTAATACACGAGTCCAAGGTGACGGCAAAAATGCAGAAATGGAATCAGGTGAAAATCTCGAGTAATACCATCGCGTACTAGGTGATTGATAGTACTAGGTTAGGATAAAATCAGGTGTAAAAATTGGTCAGAGTTAAGCGCACGGTATTAAATTTTTGAGTAATGTCAAATTTTTAGAGAAAAAAATTAAACACAGCTTTGTCTACGCCTACTGTACAGCATGCAACACAACTCATCAGCCATCACGTGCAATGTTTGTTTTAGCGCCCCCCCAAAAAAAAACATTTTATAGGAAAGATAGCAAGATGTGTGATTTTTTTTATGAATCTTTTGTTTTTCCATAATACTATCAAAAGACTCATGCATGTAGGATTAAGAAGCACACCACTTCAATACCTACTTTTTTTTCTATCTTGAGAATCAAATGGACGTGTATATCCTATTTTCATTTTAATGGTATTCGATATAATCGTGTAAATTAAGAGAGATAGAGTACCGCTGATTTTATATCTAAATAACGTGATCAAGATGTATAGTTAAAAGTTATTGTAAGATAGCGGTAGTGGTGAATTTAACCGTGAATCACATTTGTGAAGTTGTGATCATTTCTGAACAACTTTTTTTCCGTAGATGATTAAGAGCAGGTTCAATAGTATCGCCAGCTACCGGCGATATCCATGTCCACATCAGCTAACAGTTAATATGGAGAGTAAATTATCTAGTACATCACAGCCCCCAAGAAGCATTTCTTTTTTTCTGTGGGACCCAACTGATAAGCATCTTCCATAGTATTCATCTCACTGCATGTAGACCCATGACCATTTTTAAAAGTTAAAAATTTCTACCTTACAGGCTTTTTCACCTTGGAGCTCACGTAGAGCTGGCGACAAAATAGTCGCCCGTTCCTATCACCTTTTTTCTTCTCTATCCTCCAGCTCATTAGTTTTGCTGAGATAGCTGTACTATCGCCGGTTATTGTACCCGCTCTAAGGCCATTCCCAACCCAAAACACTAGACATAGTTTCCATAAGCTCCACATCATCAAGAAACTAGTACTAGACACTACTCTTCCAATGCAAACACCACTATTCCATACTTAAATTTAATGCTACTTATCTCACATGATGTCTTGGATATTGTGTAGAAACCATGTCTCATACAAGACATGGTTTCTCTTTCCTCATTTATTCACTTGCTACATCATTTTTTATCATAGGTGGCAACTTATTTAATACTATGGACACCATTCTAGTCATTGGATTGGGAATGCACTAACAACAATGCACGTTGGTCTGAGTCTTACGTGCGCAATGACGTGTCGATCCGACCAGCTCAAACAACTTGCGGTTATGCTACGAGGATTGCAGGGGTGAGATTTTTCAATGTACTGACATGTAGGGCCCATAAAACTGTGGCCCACCTGTCCCTACCAGCGTAGGTGGGGACAGTGAGAGCAAAAAGCTGTAAGTAGAAATGCGTTCCTACCAACCACCGTTACTTCTCCGAACTAATTATGATTGGGCCCTTGAAAGGTTTGAAATTATGAGATCTCTCCGGTTGTTGTTTGTACCCTTTTGAACTTTGCAGGTAATATACTTCGAGGGTTCTTAATTTTGCTATATTGGAATTTCCAGTTCATACATAAATGAAGAAAACTAAGGGTACGTCCAGAACCTGGGTTCCCAACCCCTCTCCATCGTATTCCACGTGCACGCTTTTCAAACTGCTAAACGGTGCGTTTTTTTTTACAAAAAGTTTCTATACGAATATTGCTTAAAAAAATCATATTGATCCATTTTTGAAAAAAAATTAGCTAATACTTAATTAATCACGCGCTAATGGATTACTCCATTTTCCACGCTTTCCGGATGGGAACCGCCAGCAGCGACCAGAGCCCAAGGCATTAAAGCAAATTTAGTACAACATTATTGAAGACGTCGTTTAGAAGTTTCCCTTGTAATGTCGTGTTTTGTTTGTTCTTCAGTGGAGTCTTTGGTTGTAAATGTATGGTGTGGCTATTGTGTCTCCAAAGCTGTAGACTTGTATTTTTTTTCTTGTTTTATCAATACGAAACATCGTACAATCTTGTGCGTGTTGTTTAAAAAAAACAAATTTAGTATCCCCAACTAAAAATTAGTTTGAACACATTAAATATCAATACGGACAGTGAATAATAATTTCATCATATCAAACCACATAAAGCCTTGTGTTGTACTCACATTTGTTTAGGTGTTATCTTTGCCTTTTACTAAAACTAATATTCTGATGTTCAATAGTGTTTTTATGTGCTAACTTCATGATAAGTCTAGAACAATTAATCAAATAAATTGTGTAGTGCTGATCACTGGATTAAAAAATTTTCAATGGGTAATTCGTACTAAGATTCCTCAAAAAAAAAAAGAGGTACTAAGGCTGTGCTCGGCGGCTTGTGTTCCCAACTATCTCCCTTGTGTTTCGCACGCAAGCGTTTTCAAAATGCTAAACGGTGCATTTTTTATTAAAAAAAATTCTATACAAAAGTTACTTAAAAAAATCATATTGATATATTATTTTTAAAAATTGCTAATACTTAATTAATCATGCGCTAATGGACTGCTCTAGCCCTAGCCCTTGCGTGTGCAGGTGAAGACGACGTTACAGTTGTAGTTGGGACCCACGCCGCACCCCGCGCGCGCAAGTCCATGATGTGAGCGGAGCGCTTCAGACTGTTGGGAGCCACGTCAGCCGGCGGCCTCCGCCGTCGAGACGGATTCGCCGCATTCGCCTCGAATTTCGTCTCCTCGGCCGCCGCTTGCGCCGATCCCCATCCTGCGAGCCCGGCGTCCTCCTGCTTCCACCGCTCGCCGGTGAGCTTCCCTCCCTACCCACACCGATCTGCCGCTGCCCAGTTCCACCTACTTTCTATATATTTTTTTCTACATGAGTGAGTGGGTAGCCCTGGAGTATTTCATAAAGTAGATAAAATATTGACAAAGGAAAGGGGGTTATGTGAGAAGTTCACACTTCATATTCCTCTTTACCTCTTCCATTGATTCCCTGCAGGGCTCCACTCCCCTTCTTCTCCCTTTGTGCGCGCCACCAACGGGGGTGGTGGTGGGAAGAGAATTCGGATCGCATCGAGCTCGAGCTGCTTCGCGAATCGTGAGTTCCAATTCTAATCCCTCTGTTCTTCCCTCCATTCTCCCAAGGTTGTTTATCCTCTCCTACTCATCGACTCATTAGTGTTCCCTGCTAGATGAATTTACAAGTGTGCGCTTAAGGTGTTCGACGATTTGCCTGAGAGTGAAATTTCGCCCGCCATAACAATGTTCTTGCAGGGATAACATGGTGGCTTTGTTCTGGTCAGATTGGTCGAGTTTATTCTTGTCTGCCGTTTCAAAAGTTGGGATTTTGGGGGGTTTTCTTATTGCGCGGAAAGTAGCTTCGTCTGTCAAATCTTATTTGTCTATCTATTCTCTGATGATTAAGTGATTCATTTTTTATTTTCAGGAACATATGATATGGCTGGTGTGATCAGCGCCCGTGCTGGTCTGAGCCATTCCTTGTCTGTTACTCAGACAGTTCCGAATCGTCCGCTGCAGGCTTCACAATTGGCAACGAGGTGTACAAGCCCATCATTTCTTTCTGCTAAACTTTGCAAGACTCGTCCCCTGGTAGTAGTAGCAGCTATGGAGGTCTCGAAGGAAGCCCCTTCTGCTGACTTTGCCAATCGCCAGCCTTCCAAAGGTTGTTGCTGAGAACTCCATCTTATTAAATTGATTGATATGCCTCTGCGGGTTGCACTGTCTCCAGTTCTAAATTTAATATAACTTTTGTCCTTGCATGATTCTGTTAGGGGTTCTTGAGACATGGTGCAATGCCGATGCAGTGTGTTTTGATGTTGATAGCACGGTCTGCTTGGATGAGGGTATTGATGAACTCGCTGATTTCTGTGGGGCTGGGAAGGCTGTTGCTGAGTGGACTGCAAAGTAAATAACATGTTATGAACATTAGTTTTGAAGTGTGTTTGTTGCTTAGTGCATAAAATTCATTCAGGATGCTCATTGGTTTAATATTCTTAGGGCAATGACAGGAACTGTTCCATTTGAGGAGGCACTAGCTGCCAGGCTATCGTTAATTAAGCCATATCTGTCCCAAGTTGATGACTGTTTAGTGAAGAGGCCTCCAAGGTAAACTTATTTGAGTCCTGACTTATTTAATTAGCAGTACTTTTCTCTAGCATTTTTTATCTTTGTCATATAATACTTCAGCTATTCGTCTTCTGGAAATCTTGGACATGCCCATTTCCTTCCATTTTATTCTTTTGCGTCACTAAACAGACATAATGTGATTTGGAACAATAAATAGATTTATTGGGTTTTTATTTTTACACCGGTAAGAAAATTATAAATACAGTTAATCTATACAAGCAACCACAAGAATAGATCTTTTGCGTAACTTGCTCATAGGTTTACAAGAGAGATTCTAAGATTTCTCTTATAACAGAAAAAACTCGGATAGAATTCATCAACCATATATTCAGCACTGTACAGTCTAACTTATGTTATTTTTTGTGTTACAAACACTGTTTCTTAGTCCACTCAGAATCACCAAAAAGTTGTCCTTTTTAACTGCAGGATTTCTCCTGGAATTGCTGACTTGATTAAGAAGCTCAAAGCAAATAATACTGATGTATTCCTTGTGTCAGGAGGTTTTCGACAAATGATCAAGGTACATTATTCTGCTCTATTGTCACACTTCTGGTGGTTCTGGAATATCTAAACATTGTTAAGTTTGCCTGACGAAATTTTATTCCTGTTATACTCATCCTGCACCAAGATATGCATTTTCAGTTATTAAAAAAAATGAATCTAAACCATTTTCTACAGCTTCTACCTATATTATTTGTTGAATCAAAATCAAGGATATGTTTCTTCTCTTAGACAATCTGTCAGCTATACCCTGTTTTCACTCCGAGGTGTTGAATGACTTGAATCTTATGTGTGACGAATTTACATATGTAATATGTACTGGGTTTTGATCAAATGGTTATAATGTGTCATTTGATACCATAAGTTGCCTCAGTTGTCTGTTTTCCTTTTTTTTCTAGCCTGTGGCATCTGAGCTTGGCATTCCTCCTGAAAACATCATTGCAAACCAACTTCTTTTTGGAACATCTGGAGAGTATGCTGGATTTGATCCCACTGAACCCACTTCACGAAGTGGGGGTAAAGCACTAGCAGTCCAACAAATTAGACAGGTTTGATTTAGTTTTGTACCATTTGGTATTGCATTTATCACTTCTTGCCAGATTATTTATCTTCTTCATCTGTTCAGAACCATGGTTATAAGACACTTGTTATGATTGGAGATGGTGCAACTGATCTTGAGGTATGTAACTGAAATGCTCCTGGATATTATATACGATGTAAATATGTTTCTTTGGCAAGAGACCAGCTACCGGCTGTTGTCAAAGATGTAAGCGGTTAACTGTTTTATTTGTTATATTGCTGAGATATGCACTCCCTTTGGGCAGTGTGTGTAAATAAGTAGCATGAGAGTAAGCATCTACCAAAAAGAAATGCGTTACAAATACGAGCTAGAAGTGAATGCATGGAGGTTTGGTGGTACATTGATGTGCATTTAGGATTACTACAGAGCTGTTGGCTCATTCCTCATTCGAACAGCATTACTGTTAATTTGTCTTGTGGCAACAATGAATGTGTTCTGTGTTGATAGAAAATATAACGTAGCAGGGTCTCCTGCAGTCCTGCTATTCTTGCACAAGTCAAATAATTCCATAAAGCAGTGAGTAGTGCTGCTTGAGGGAAAAGGTTCAAGTCATTGACATGTGATACAGTGATAGTTATTTCTTCTGTCAATATTTCAGTTAGGGTAAAGTTTGGGAATGGCACTTCTATGGCTATGTGGTATATTAATATTGACCTAACCCGTGAATTCGCCTGCAGTAGTTTGGCTTTCTAATAGAAGAAATGAGCTGTCTTTATAGATGACATTGAACAAAATGTGTCTATCTAGTAATATCTTCATTTATTTACTTGTCTCCTTGCAGGCTCGGCAGCCTGGAGGAGCAGACTTGTTCATCTGTTACGCAGGTGTCCAGATGAGAGAAGCAGTTGCAGCAAAAGCAGATTGGGTTGTCATCGATTTTCAAGAACTAATTTCAGAATTGCCATAATTTAGTACCACACTGCAATCCTAACTTTTGCATTGTTGCTAATGAGTGCATGTAATTGTAGATGTCATTGAAGCATTACAATTTTGATGCGTGATTATTTAATTGTATGTATTTTATTTTTTAATTTTCATCTTTCCTCAACCTTACCTCCTTTTTAAATGATCCTGAGGCTCCTAAACTTGATTCCTATGCACTGAATATTGTGAATAAATTGTCTCATAAGCAATTGCTTGAGACTGCCAGAGTTAAGCCATTTTTCTGTTTTGCCTTTATTATCTGGCAATGTTGGCAAGAAATGTGGTGAAACTATATTGTCAGTGTCCTAAATGAAATATCGACATGAATCATAGTTTGTTGGGTGCTATTGCTTTGATATCAATATTCTGCAAATAATTGTGGTGAACTATATAGTTGAACTTGAAGTAATCCATTTTTGACCTGAGCAGCCTGTGGACTACTACATGAACCATCCAGTATTGAAGGTCTTATTTCAGTTTTCTGAAGCCAGTTCACCCATATTTTGCCGATGGTAGGAATGTCAGATTTCAGGTGATGGAAAGCCTGCAAATGATATGTCCCCGTCTATGAAGATACCAGAAAGTTCAGTAACATTGTACCAACTAATGACCTGTATATTATTAGCCAGTCCATCAAATTCAAATAAGCCACAGATTCCTCCATCTAACCTAGATTTATATGCTCCTAACCTGCCCAACTTTGAGAACCTTCTGGTTGCAATGGCATCCATCCTTCATTCCCTTGCAACAGATGCCATGTCCTTTTCTTGCTTTCTCCAAACCTTTTTTTTTCTTTGTTTGTGATTATTGCTTTCTCCAACTTGTTGCTGCGCCTTTGGTGCTGATGCTTTCTTCAACCACAATCTAGCTAGTACTTGCATCACCAGTGTTTGCAGCCAAGAAATTTTTTGTACCTGCCGTATCATTTTATTCCGTAATCCATTACATGATATTGACAGGAGAATTTGTTTATTTTTCTCAAGATGCCATTATCTTTCTCAAGATTCCAACACTTCATTATCTTGCATATAGTAGTACTAGTGCCCATTGACAGTGAATTTGTTTGTTTTTATGTTTCTAGAATTTAGACCGTGTTTAGTTCGTGAGCTAATTTTTTTTTAAAGTATACGGACACAATTTTGAAGTATTAAACGTAGACTAACAAAATAAATTACAGATTCCACCTATAATTTGTCATTAGCAAATGTTTACTGTAGTATCACATTGTCAAATCATGGCGTAATTAGGCTTAAAAGATTCGTGTCGCAATTTACATACAAATTGTGCAATTGGCTTTTTTTTTCCATATTTAATGTTCTATGTATGTGTCCAAATATTTGATGTGACAGATTTTTTGGAAGTTTGATGGAACTAAACACAGCCTAAGCATTGTTGTGTAACTTCAGTTCTGCAGGAGATTTTAGGACAGACCCTATTGTGTGACTTGAAAAAGCCTATAACATTAGCTTGGGGGTCTAGGGTGTAGGGAAAAAAAAGAGATAAACCATAAACCGTTATTGTTTTGTTCTAAGACCTTAGGTTCAAAATGTTGGTCATAGCAGAAAAGTCAAGATTTAGGACAGTTGTATGACAGCTATGAAGATCGCTTTAAAATTGATTTATTTAAATTATAAGAAAGCAATAGACACGGGCTTACTGGATCAGTAAGAATCATTGTAGAAGTCGACAACAATAACTACTAGTAGATCATCTATTGTTGGTGACAAGAAAATAAATTGCATTATTTTTACAATTGTCACCTCTGTGACCATTGTTTTTTTCTATTGCTGAATCGTCATCCTCTACGAAACAGAAACAAATATATCTTAGTAAACATGTCCTTATTTCATCAAATTTTGCTAGATGAGATGATCCTCCAATAGAGGTTTTACGAACTTATTGAACCAAGGGTTGCCAAGCAAATTTTCTAGGATCATAGTGACCCCAATCCTTAACACGTAATTTCTGGAACTTCCATCGTTTTGGTCCTCTAGCCAACTACCAACTACATGGCAATTCTCATTAGATTCATTTCACCTCTGAGAGAAAAATAGGGATGGGTGACCGGTTACTACGCCGGCTATAGAAGAATTATCGTTACAAGGAAGTAATGATATTATTTTTCGCTTCCAAAAATAGAGATCACGGTGACACCATGACTATTTCAAAAAAAGGAAAACCACTACAATTATTTCTTTTACAAAACTAGCTACATGCCCATAAGCTACAACGGGATCAGGAGATAAAAATGCAATTGAGTTCCATTCTTGCCAGTTTTTCACATGCTTTTTTTTGGAGCCTTTTTCTTTTTAAGTGAGGGAGTAGTTTTTTTTTCCCTAGAGAAACAAGAGGACGACTGTGTTTTTTATAGTTAAGATATTTGGTGCATCATCAGCAAATCAGAACAACAACCAATTTCATCATCCAAGCCTATCAGCAATGCACCAATCTTGAGTACTCCCTTCGTCCTAAAATATAGCAACTTTTGGTTAGATGTGATATATTCTAGTACTACGAATCTGGAAAGAGCGTACTAGGATATATCCCATCCAATCAAAAGTTACTATATTTTGGGACGGATGAACTACCAAATTTCATATCACTCTCTCTTTCTCTCTCTTTGAAGTCTCTTTCTCTCTCCTAGTCGCCACTAACGGCGACCCGTCACCTAACGGAAAAAAAAAACGCCAAACACACGAACGCGCGAACCCCTCCCCACCGACGCGCGCGCCGTCAATTCCCGACCGTCCGATCGAACGGCCGACGGGTAGAAAGCTCCCATCCGACGGCCACGATGCATCCACACGTATTTACCATCACCCCGTTACATCTCCCCCTATTTACGAAAACATTCCTCTCCACCACTCGAGGTGGGCTATACTCAATTTAGGATTTTGTCCGAGGTGTTTTGTGCAAAAGTGGAGCTTCCGAAATAAGAAGCCGCGCCATGGCCACCGCCGGAGCAGAGCAAGCTCTTCTCCTCCTCCTCCTCCTCCGCCGCCGCCGCCGCCGCATCATCGCCGTCGAAGCGTAGAGGGAGTAAGGGGAGGATGGGGAGAGGAAGAGGGGTGAGCAGCGGGGGAGGGCAGAGCTCGCTGGGCTACCTCTTCGGCGGCGGCGAGACGGCTCCCGCGGCGAAGGCGAAGCCGGCTGCAGCGGCGGAGAAGGAGACTACGCCGGCGCCAGTGAAGAAGGCGGCGGTGGCGGCGGCGGCGTCGCCGTCGGCAGCGGAGAAGATGAAGGAGATCCCCGCGGGGATACAAAGCACCCAGGCCAACAACTACTTCCGGGCGCAGGGCCAGAATTGCGGCAACTTCCTCACGGTCAGTGTCTCCATTGTTCATCCTTCCCTCGATTCAGTCGGCCTCCATGTTTGATTTGATTCGTTCCCGCCAAATTTTATTTGCACATGGACACTCACCTTTTTTTAGATGAAACTAAACTTATTTCAGAATTTCCAAGATCAAGTGGAACTTTATGATGCTCCGGTCATGAATTTTGCTGAAACATTCTCATCTTTTTTTTGGGTGAAAAAAAAAGAGATTGTGATTCTGATATATGAACCAGTCATCTTTTTTGATGAAATTTATTTGCAATTATTTCCATTCTTTTTTTCTTTGCAAAAGCAAATGGAACTTGCTGATGTTCTAGGCATGATTTTTTTTTCTGAACCAATTTTCTCCAATCTTTCGAGTGAAATAAAGATTGTGATTCTGATATATGAATGTACAATTTCTGGATGCTGATGTTGTTGAACACTGATTGTGGTGAGACTATGCAGGATCGGCCGTCAACCAAGGTGCACGCTGCTCCGGGCGGCGGCTCGTCGCTCGGCTACCTCTTCGGCGGCAAGTGATGCGAAAAAAAAAGAAGAAAGAATCCTCTGCTCGAGAAATTTCTCTCTAGCAGATAACGTGATTATTTTTAAACCTGCTTTTGTGTAGATTGCCTGTGTATTGTGTGTTGTGATGTGTTCTTGTGTGATTTGCAGCTACTTAAAAAAAAAACTTAACTAGTTCTGCAGGCTCTGATGGCTGTATCAGCCACTGGCATAAAATGCTCAGATGGTGTTAATTCTTCGAGTTAGTATGCTTGGAATGCAGTTGTAACTTGTAAACATTTACATGACCATGTCTCTGTTTCCTTCAAGTTGTCTACTCCACTTTATATTAGTCATGCTGAAGTAGTAGGTGGCAAGAAATACTTCTCTTAACCATTTCAGTTTTTTTTTTTTCATATAAACTAAAGAAAAACTCTGCTCTTGTGAACACAAATGGTAACCATTAACCCCTTCACTAGCTAATGTATCTATCTGGTACAATCCACCTTGACACAGCACGCCTATTTTCAAGTTTTGCTGAATTGGGCAGCCAAAAGTTCATTCAAGAGCAAGCCAAAATTCAGCTAGGAACATCTTTGACTGTACCAAACAATCACCACTGTTACATTGGGTCACAGATAGCACAACTGGAGCTGGAAATACGGCATGCTATTGTCAGAGATGAAAGCCCGGTACAATTTTAATAGCATGAAACATGATCACGGTGCCAAACAAGCGTTGCGAGAAAAGAGGATTCCCCATAATCATCGAACTTCATATGATTATATCAACACAGGCCATCATCAATTTACAGCTTTTTCAGGTGGCACTATCACCGGACAATCAAAGGCGCCTCCGAGACATAGCAACGCAGGCACACAAAGAAACCATGGGGAAGCAAACTTCCCCTACTGACTATTTCAAAGAAATAGAAAAGAATGTTTTTGTGCGCCCTTCCAACATTTCAAGAATATCAGAGGCGATGAGGATCACACTACTGATTCAATACTTACAAGGTGTATGTACAGAGTATTTGGTGGCCTAGACCACCTGTACTTTCAGATTGCCATGAGGGTTGTTAATCCAAGAAATACAGGCCAGTCTGACAATTATGTTGTCTCGTCAAACTCCATTTTCTGCGGAGGATTAGAAGAAAGCAAAACATCAATCAAGAGTTAGAAGGAAAACATCGTTTGGAAAGGAGAAACAAAATAGATTCCGACAGCTGTCAGCTATAAAGATACATCAGTTGGAGGTTACCACTGCATAAAAACTGAGTTAAAAAAGGTCAGCTTCACACATTTTTATTTAAGGTTAATACTGCCAAAACTGCTTTACTTTTTCTTTAATTCAAATAGTCAGCATCTCAATTAGGTAAGTGTTCTTCCCCCAAAACAATTCATTTCTTATATTTGTCGGTCCAAAGTAGATGTGATTCCCTTTCCAAGCTAAATTATTATCTATGTGATAAGTCACCTATCCTCCTACCTTAAGGGGCTTTACAGTCACCATATCCTTATGTAAGGCAAAGTGGATACTGCAGTAATCAGCCTAAACCATGCATTGGTTAGTCCACAAAACAAGTATTTGGTGGACTAACCAACGCATGGTCCACAAACCTCAAAGCTAGGTTAAGGGTGCCAAAAAAAAGATCTTCTGAAAAAAATCTACGAGATAGATGGGCAAGTTATCGCATATAATATTCATCAGAAGCTGGCTGCTTTCAAGGTGGAGCTTTCAATTCTAATCTTATAAACCATGTCCTCCTTACAATATCAAATATAGGTTAATGGTAATATATTACAGGGTTATTCAAATTCTTATGTCGCATTTATGAAGTTAAAACTTAAAACTAGGGTGCAAATGACCATCAATTGTACAATGCAATTATCTCAGGTATCCTTAAATAAATGCATGCTGCATTAAAAAGTTGTACGTAGTACCTAGAAAAAGCAAACATAGTCAACAAAGCATATAACTGGACAAAAATTATAAGGAGGAAAAAAAAGGAAGAGCTAAAGCAAAATTACCTTTCCACAAACAGGGCATGCTTCACTTCTTTCCATCCACTCATAAATACAGCCAAGGTGGAAATGATGTGAGCACTGCATTACTATCCTAGGATTCTCAGAAGTATAATCTGCATAGATATAATGTAAGAATTAGTACAAAATCTTAGGCAGATAAATTGTTCATGGTGCTAACAACAGATTTGATGTCAGTTTTTTTTTTCAATCAACCTGAATGAAACCCATGACCGTAAATTCAGGAACAATTTTGACTCTGTAGTATCAATTTATCAACTACTAGTAACAATTATACAATCAGTGCACAGAACAAATTAGTTTGATACTAGCAAATTCATCAGTCCAGACGTCATTCATGGTCAGTACACATGACTCTCATTAAGTATTCTATGAAGACAATTGCATATGTAATATTAACTACATATGTCATTCTAGTATACTGATGACAAGTAGATTAATACCTTCAAGACAAGTTGGGCAGACATCTTCATCTTCAGCGGATGGGGAAAAGTATGTGAAATAATTTCCAGGTTCCTTTGTTGGCAGCTTCTCTCCATGAGTAGAGCTGCTTCTTTTCATTTTTGTGTCATAGTTTGTTTTACTTGACTTATGTGTTGAACTTGGTGTTTCCATTTCCTCGTCATCATTTGCCCTCAGTGGTTCTGATTCCTCTGGGGAATGGCATGAAGGTCCATGCCTTGACACTAACCAATCACGCTGAGGAGGGGAGAATCTAGGATCATCATATGGAAGTGGTCTTGGGGGTGAACGATATGTGTCAAATGAACTTTCAGATGAATCAACAGGAGTGGCTTCTATAGACTGAGAAACTGCGTGCACTGTCCCAGCTCGGAATAAAACAGTGTACTGGAAAAAGAAAAGAAATCAAAATGTCAATGATTTCCAACCTGTGTTAGCTCAATTTAAAAAGAAGTAAGCTGTCCAATAAAAATCAGAGCATTTTTAGTTCAATTGAACACCCTTCTCTTGTTTATCACTTGAAAACTTATGACAACGGATTGACACTCGAGACAATTATATCTATACTGGCAGATAATTCACATTGGGTATTTCGCTTTTCCTGAGCACACCACAATCAGTCTTGTTTAGAACTTGAATAAGGAAAACTGATGAGCTTCAGTATAACCTAGATAACTTCTCAACTATTCACCCATACATGATTGTATATGCTCATTGTTTTTTTCTCGAAATATGTTGTGGTTTTTTTCTCGAAATATGTTGTGGAAGACATATCATTTGGTGTGTCTTCAAAGAGATGGCTAACATGTTATCTACTTGCAGCTTAATAATTTTAAGTAAGAACAGTTAATAAGCTCACGGTGAGCAGAACAACATACAGAAAAAATGGAAAGAATCAAGATACTAGGACAAGACATACCGCATTGATGAGCTGCTGAGTAAAACATCTGAGGCACATGCATCCCCCTAATGCCGGTGAAGCATGATGCCCATGGTGGTCGGAATAATCAGCTTGCAAACATGAACAAAGAGCTCCCATAATCCAAAGAATGACCACAAGAGAAACAACTCCTTAAACCAGAGCCGTTTTAACAGTCAGTGAGTCCAGCAGGGTGGCCAATGCTAATCCAAGTGCTCCAAAATTGAGTTCTTCAGTCCAAGTGCTCCTCAATATCTGTCAGTTGCAGCAAAATCAGGTCAGTAATCGTCGAACAAACGCATCCACCAAACACAAATAGTACTACAAAGTTCGATCAATCCATCGTATATTCCAGCTTCAGGTGTGGACCTAACGCAAAGGCATGGTGGTAGACCCAGGCTCTCAGCTCAACTCAAAATTTTTTCTCTCTCTTTTTTTAGAAAAGAAAAGCTTCTATGAGCACTCCACCACGCATCGAATAGAAGAAACCCAGATAAAAATTAAAAAATAAAAAATAAATCATGGATTGGCTAATGGAGGGGGGAGAAAGAAAGAAAGAAAGAACGAACGAAAGAATCGATCCCAAACTCCCGATGGGGCGATAGATTTACAATCTAGAGGCGAACCCGGCTCAATCAATCGAACGAGCAATACCTCCCAGCTCGATTCGAACCGAGACGAGGCAGTCGAGTCACCGGCCGTGCGCGCGGAGTCGGGATCAGCAAGGAGACGAGCCCGCGCCTACGGGCCCTTCTCGCCGGCGGCGGGGGTGGGGGAGGATCCGAGCAGGGGGCGGCGGCGGAATTGGGGGAGAGGAGGGGATTGGGTTGAGCTTCTTCTCTCTCTCTCTCCCGTCCTCCATTGCTGCCGTCGCTGCACACGTATATACACGGTCGGACACCTCGCCCCCCTTACCGGGTCCCGCCACGAAAGATCCGCTTCCCAAGCGGGTGGGACCCGTTAGCTGCTGCTTGCTAAGGCCTGGTTTAGTTCGTGAAAAGAAAATTATTGAGTGTCACATCGGACGTTTAACTAAATGTTCATTCAGAAGAGGTTTTGACACGAATAAAAAACTAATTTCATAACTCACCTAGAAACCGCGAGACGAATTTTTTGAGCATAATTAATTCGTTATTAACACATGTGGGTCACTGTAGCACTTATGGTTAATCATGGACTAATTAGGCTCAAAAGATTTGTCTCGTGATTTTTATGCAAACTGTGCAATTAGTTTTTTTTATTTATATTTAATACTTTATGTATGTGTCTAAATATTCGATATGATGTTTTTAGGGAAAAAAATTTTTGGAACTAAACGGGGCCTGAATTCTCAGTTGCTGACTCCGTCTTGGTGCAGATTCTTTCTTCGCCCGATGGAAGATGATGCTTGGCTTCTCTAATCTCAAGATAGGTGTACAACACGGCAATGCGTGCGTGTTTAGTACTTTGAATTACTAATTAATTGATTGATTGATGATTTAGGGTTGCTAATCAGGTGGCGCCCACATGGGCAGCTTCACTTTTGCCTCTGAAGCAAGAAGCATTCTCACTACTTTCAGTTTTAAAGGATCATCCCCAAAACATTCAGAAAATCCCCATGCTCCGATGATTGTTTTGGTAATCTCAACCAATACTGTGTTGAAGTCAACATAGCCACCGTCTGATTACAGTCAACAACGCTGCAAATTGTCCACAAACACCTGCTCCTTTTTTTTTTTTTTGAGAATTCCAAACACCTGTTCATGCATCCACAAATTCAGCTCAAACATGTGCTGATTCCAACATGTGCTCAGCCACCAAACACCTGTTCATGCATACACAAATTCAGCTCAAACATGTGCAAATTCCAACATGTGCTCAGCATGGTTGGACTCTTGTGATGAAGAATGATTAACCGAAAGCAGCTAATTATTCTCTGAATTGACTTGGACACAGTATAGCTAACTTTATCATTCACACGCAAACAGTTACATTCCAGTGTTGTTTGTTCATACTGTTTCCAATCAGAGTTTGTTCAGATTTCTTGCTTTGGTACAAAATCAACATGCAGCCAGCAGTACATCGACTTGGAGACCATATCGGGTTCAACTGAACTTATTAAAGGGTAAAACAATGAAGCAAAATATCAACAAATATATGGTTATCCCACAAAGTCTAACAAGAAAGCTCAAATGAACAAGGCGAAAAGGGCAACAATGCCAGCGTTGTCATGGTTTGTTTCCTGATCAGAATGAAGGAGAAAATGGGGGGGAAAAGAGCATAGGCAAAAACAGTACACGGTACATCACAAAGGGCATCGCTCCTCTGGAGAGTTATATACAGGAAGGCGCATCATGCTAAGTTGCTACTCCGGTGCTCTCCTATGCCAGACAGACCCAAGTTTTTCTGGTCGTTACCAAGTCAAGGCAACAGGAGTTTATGAAGATTGCGGAGTTTCTTGAAGGCGGTACATTGTGATCTCTTGCTGCTTGAAGTACCTCCGGTCTTCCTCGTCAACAAGAACCAGGTTCAGGTAGTACTTGACATTGAACTTGTTGTTTATGTTGCGGTAAGTCGGGGTCAACTCATATGGTGTCAAGAAGAGTCTTACCGGAATAGACTCACCTGTAAAATGATTTGGTCCAGCTCAATTTAATGTAAATACTTTGCTTGAACTAAGAAATATTGCCATATTAGACTTATAGGCAAGTATGCAGCAGTTATTTTAATCCTAATGCCACAAAAGACATTACCTCTTACGGGAGCGCCATCCATCAACTCAAACTTTGCAAGTGTCTCAGTCTCAATATATGTGCCAGGCCCAGATCCTGTTGATTCCCGCCGACGAATCTCAAGCTCCATGTTCTTTATCTTTATTCTGACTAGAAGAAAATAGATTTTTCCCACGATCACATCCTTGAGATGGTACCTGAATATGGTTTGGCCCAGAAGAAAGAATATCAGAACTCTGGTTAACAGAACAAGCGGCAAATTGGAACATGGGACTGTTCTTACTTGCTTTTGCTGTACTCAAATTCAATATGCAAACAATCTTCAATTCCAACTTCCATCTGTAAAGGAAGGAACAATTTAAATACTCACATTACTATTAAGTACACCCAATTACCACATAGAACAATTGGAGTCACATGAGAAGGATTTAAAGAAGTGACCAGTTCATTCCCATTTTGAGAAAATAAAGGGGAAATTGGGAAAAAATTAGCCACTCTCTCATGTTGCATATGATTAAGATAAATTGACTGAGCTACTCCAAAATTAAATGAGCAACATAAAAACCAGGAAAGGATATCTTTGTAATCTAATGAATCCTTCATTCTTCTTGTATTTCATTTACTGCTGTCTGGAATCTTTTTTTTTTTTTGAAAAAAAAAATTGCTGCCTGGAAACATGGTTCTGAAGTAGATCAAACAGCATTGTTCACTTTTCCTGTTACTGCTGGGCTTCAGGAATAATGTCAAATTGTTGGCATGGTACTATGGCCATTTCACCATGACGTCGGGCCCCTTTGAATTGCAGGGTAGAAAAAACGGAAGAATAGGAAAAACACAGGATTCTGACAGGAATTGAAGTGTAAAACAGAGGATTGCAAAACACAGGAAAAACACAGGAATGGTTGTTTGATTGGAGCATAGGAAAAACGCAGGAATCGGATGAGAGAGATAGACTCAAAGGAATTTTTCCAAGAGGTTGGAGCTCTTACTAAATTTCCTCCAAAATCCACATGCAATGTGCCATTCCATAGGAATTTCATAGGATTTGGAAAGCTTCAATCCTTTGAATCAAAGGGCCAAATAGGAAAATTTCCTATAGGATTTGAATCCTATGAAATTCCTACATAAATCCTTTGATTCAAAGGGGCCCTTAAAATTGTAAGGTTTGTGTTCTCCCTCCCCTCCCTTCCCTTAAGCTATTAAGGTTACTATATTTTTTATTAAAAAAATTTGGTTAAATGGTATTAAATGGTAATTCAAATAATTTGAAGAATATTTCAAGCATGCAACACCATCACTAAGGGAATAAAGATAATGATCAAGGCATAGTAGGCTTATCTTACAGTTATCACTTAACCCATAATATAATGCCAAGACAGGTTAACTCTGAATGTCCAGCCATCTAGTTACTATAGCACTCACCTTGATGCTATTGTTAATTGAAGGAAGAGGAGTGTAATTCCTTACCTGAAAAAAAAGAGAAAGAAACATAGCTAATTAACCCTGAAATGTTTTAATAATGAAATCTGAAACGCATTCCCTTTGAACCGATTAATAACAAGAAAAGATGAAATAGAACAACGGATGCGGATGCATACGTGACTATCAACACAACATAGACGAGACATCTAATTTTAACAAGTCCAACTAGAATGACAAAAAATGCTGGAGTTACAGACTATTTACATATATGAAGTTAGTGAAATAAAGCATGACTGTTAGGAGCAGCATATGGTCTGCCAAATGCAATTGTAGGAGTTACAGACTTACACAGAAATCTCGACATTCCACAACACTAGTAGCATATGGTCTGCCAATTGTAACTTTCAGGATGTACCTGCAAGCATTACAAACATGACTTTTGATCTTCAAGATAGTGTTATTAAAGCTGTCGATGCTACAAGTCATGCAAGCTGTTCTTGTTATGACCTGTGCAATGCATAATGGAAGCATGTTAGCCTTCTTACCTCAATCTGACATTTGTTCCGTTATACGACTCATAAGGCATCTCAACAGTAGAGAATTCAAATGGATAAGTCTTCCTTTCATAGATTTCACCAGCAACCTCTAACTCTCGCACTACACAGACAAAAAAAGAAAAGAGAAGCACTTAAGATAATGAATAGCTTTACTGGCTTACAACTGAACAGCGAGCTAATCTAAATCGAAAGATGCTAAGTTATATTCCATTATTTGTAGAATAGAGATAGCACAAATAAACATTTGGCACCTCACTAATGCTTTAGTGAGAATAGTTCGCACATGAAACAAACAATGGTATGACAACAACAAAGTTTTCTCAGAGGGTTAATTTTTCCCATTTAACTTGCAAGATAGTGTTCTTGGGGTCAATCGACAATGTAAAGCCCCAATATATAAGATTTGAAGAGTGCAAAGAACCTAAAGGAATAGCGCATACAGGGAGGGCTGCAAAAAGATCAAGACTATCTTAACAGAAAGAGCATACCTAACGAAGTGAAGTCATAGAAGTGACCTCTCTCATGGTACAGCTCTGCAATATAAAAGATCACAGGTAATAATAATGTTAGAACTTGGAAGGACCTGAACTATTGAAGATCAATGCTGCCGATAGTGGTAGAAGAAACAATTCATGCGGGTACTTTTTGCAGTCTCTCAAGCAATGAAATCCTATACTTTGTCATGGTAATGAGATTTTGAAACAACATTAGCTGGGAAAATAATGCAATGAATTTTCAGAACAACGAAGAACCTTTTCCGTTCACACTTGTTTTTCTACAAACAAATCGCATTTTCAGCAACCTGAAATAACATGTCTTATATTCGATGCAGTCACCATAGGCATTAGGGCACTCATATTCAGAATCAAACAGATCAAGGGTGCATCATACCTATCTGACCCAGCAGCTCAATCTTGACACCTTGGTGCTCCACCCTTTTACCTGGAACGGGCGCTACCGACACCTGCACACCATTTAATCACAATTAGACACTCCCATCTCCAACACCACACCATTTAATCACAATTAGACACTCCCATCTCCCATCTCCAACACCACACCATTTAATCACAATTAGACACTCCCATCTCCAACACCACACCATTTAATCACAATTAGACACTCCCATCTCCAACACTAGAAAAAAATATACAGAAAAGCAGACAGAGTGTAGGCACTACCTCTCCTGCAATAGTCTCCAGGCTCTGGAAGGCCGGCACCATCAACGTCTTCCCGTTATCCTTCTTGATCGCCACCTGCAAGAACCACACACGATCCCAATCTTTCAAACAACCTGATAGCTAGCCAGCTAATCCTTAGCCACCAAGAACAACGCCGGCTCCTCCCCTCCCCTCCCCTACCTGCTTCCGGCTCCTCTCATCGGCGAAGGTGATGAAGACGTCGCAGGGCGCCTTGAATGCTCCGATGATGTAATTCTGCAACCACCCCCCAGCAGCGCAAATCAGAGCGGGATCCGGTGGAAGCAACTAGATTCGATCACGAGGGATTACCATGGCGGCGTTGGAGGAGCAGGAGCCGAGGTGGAGGGGGCTCTCCCTCTGGCGGAGGAGGTGGCGGCCGAGCTGAGGAGGGTCGGCGGCGGCGGCGGGGGAGGGGAGGGGGCGGAGGAGATCGCCGGCGTCGGAGACGTCAACCGCCGCGTGTGAAGGGGGATCGGGATCGAGTTGGGTGGGCTGGCCCACTTGCAGTAATACTGAGACTCTCGGACCTGTGGTGCGCTCCTGGCCGTTGATCTACTGTGAGCAAACGAATCTGAGGCGTCGATTTTTATACGTTATAGAATTATTAATATTTTTTTTGCGCGGATTTTTGTAATTTTTTTCTCTCTGCATCACACGAGCGGAACACAGGTGGGATCAGGTTGGGTTGGGCCGGGTGTTTGGCCCATGTGACTGACAAGGTGGGCCATGCTGGACGGGAGCACGAGAAGCAAACGGCTCTCTTTTTCCAATTTCAGTCTCGTAACTCGATTGCTTCCTTTCATCCGCTTGTGTTTCGACAAACTATTTATTCAACAAATTAAGCATAAACTATTATTGCCTCTCATATGTCTCTCAAAATTTTCAAATACACAAAAGATCACTAGTATAATTATTGGTGTTTACGCAATGCGCTTGATTCTCAAATATCCCCAGCATTGAAAACCTTTTTTTTTTGGGCAATTTCATTCTTGCATCTACTTCGATGTCTAATATTGATTTTGTCCCTGTTTTCTACGGTTTTTGTTTTTCCCCTACTTTTTTTAAACGAAACAGCCGTTTGCCCCTATTCCGTTAATTCTTACTAACGGTGTTAAATGTGGGGGTAAAAAGGACAAGTATACCCTTAGCTATTTTCCCGTGCTTTTGACATAATCAAAATACAAATATATTGATGCCATACTATAGCAGTAGTTTAATTTGTCAAAATACAAATTTATTGATGCTTCGGAGAAGTTCCAACGCATCGACGACTGTTGATGGTCTTTTTCAGTTCAAAAGCTTTTATACCTTGTGTTCGGCGAGTCCTTCGCCTTTTTGGGTCCGCTTCATTCTTGTGGTGGACGACGCACTCTTCGGTTGTTTCTGCTGATGAAGTCGGAGCTGCTCGCTTGGCAACAATGACATGTTGAAGTCTCTTTCAAGGAGTTATGGTGCTAGCCGTGTGAAGGAAGTGGCTCCTCGGTGGCTTGGTTGATGTCCATTGTTGGATGTCGGAGTTGCTTTTCGACTTTCGTGGCTTTAGTGTCGCTGCGGTTGTGAAGTCGGCACTGCTGGGTTGCTTGGGCAGCTAGCTCGGTAACGATAACAGTTCTTCTGCGATGTGGGAGCTGTTGTGTCGCTTTTGTGTTTAGCTTGACAGCGATATCCAGTGTTTGGGCTCTGCCGTCGTTGTTAGTTGTGTAGCAGTGGGTTTCAGCCGACGGTTTTCCTGTAATTAACCGTGCAGTTGTATGGTTTTCAGGCACTGTTTTTCTTATAAACTGGATCAATTCTCTTCTTCTAAATCTAAAAGCTGGAATATCTGCCTCGGTTAAAAAAAAGGCACTTTTTCTTTACCTTTGCTATAGAACTTTTGATGAGCTCTTAATCTGGACGATTAACATCTGTGCCAACGAATGCTTTGTATATAGTGAGGAATTTCGTACCTACCAGTACTAACAGAAATCCAGGAGAAGCTACTGAAGATCTTCTTGTCAAGCATATCATGGATGTGCATGGCTTTTCTCCCCAATTCTGGCAATGTATCACCATATCAGGTACGGTTGTTCCACTAGAACATCAAAGTTTGCGAATCAACTGTATGATATATGATTGATGCACTACTTGTCTGCAGACTCACTTCTGCACCACACAACAGAGCATATGATTCCCTCCAGCTGTGGCTAATTAGAAGGTGCACCACTTATCATATGAAATTGCAGGCCTAATCTGAGGACATCACAAATCTACAATGGAAGAAGCTTTGCTTTGCTACTTCTGCTGCTCTTTTGTTTTCTTTTGAAGATTTCATTGTTTGGTAATTAATTAGACTTTGTTTTCACCATGTAAAAAATTATGGCCTATTTGGCTTATTTGGATTGAGGCCATTTTTTCGACACTGAAATGTTGGCAATTTTAATAGTATGAATATTTGTCCACACTAATTAAAATCCTTCCTATATATACTACCAAATTTAGTAGTGCCGAAATTTGCTAAAGTTTGTTAGGGAAAAATTTGGCAGCAAACCAGACAAGCCCTTAGACTCTGCTTGGCAGGCACAAGATTAGTGGTGTACAGATCTACAAAATTTAACACTTTATGTACTCCTAATCTGCAGTGTTTCAAAGGTCACATCTGCATGAGCATGATCCAAGGGAATAACTACTTTCAGGAAGCATCCCTTTTTTCTGAGTGCAGTAGTAGAACCTGATTCTGCTTATCTTTTAGACTCGTTGGATTATTGTAATCACCCAACTGACACATCTTAGTTGTGCTACTCTGATCAGGACAGTAAGGCTCTCTGTTTTTTTTTTTCTGTTCTTCAGTGTTTTTTTCGTTGTTGTTCTTTTGAAACATAGAGATGATGAATTCTCTGACATTGACACTTGGCAGAAAAGCAGTAACCAATCTGTACAAAAATAGTATTGATAGATAGATAGTGAAATGTTCAACGGTTCAGCTTCAAGCCGACGGTAATGATCATTCAATCTGTGCAAAAATTACTGCCTTAATTAATTACTGAATTCCAATGCAAATCACGGTATGCAAGCATGCAAATCTACTGAGCTCCAATGGACATATATAGACGCCGTCACGCTACTGAAATTCCAGAGAGAAATGATGACGTAGCGAGATCACATGATGACGCAAGCCGTCGGGTCCTCCTCGTTGACGAGGCGGCAGCCGCTGTACCCGCCGCAGTACGGCGTGTAGCCGCCGCCGCCGCCGCCGGAGTAGCACGGCGGCGGCAGCAGCGGCGGCGGCCTGGCGCTGGGTACGGAGTAGCCGTACACGCGGCCGCAGCCGCCGCACCTGCACCCCTCGTAGCACCCCTGGTAGCACGGCGGCGGCGCGCAGCACGACGGCGGCGCGGGCGCCGCCGGCCACGACGGGATCTCCACCATCGTCGGCGTCGCCATGTCCACCGGGTAGAACGGCCTCGCGCACGGCGGCGGCCTCGGCTTCTCCACCACCGGCGTGCACGTGACCGGCGGCGGTGGCATCTCCATCGTCGTCGGCTGCGGCAGCGGCATCTCCTTGTGCGGTGACGGCGGCTCCAGCTCGGCCACCCTATCCCTCGGCTTCTCCTCCTCGACGATCGCCGGCACCATCGCCGATGTCTCCCTGTCAGGAGGCGGCTGTACTGGCGGCGGCGTCGGCGGTCGCTCATTCATCGGCGGTGGCGTCTCAGCCAGCGGCGGCGGCGGCGGAATTTCCTTGCGCTTGTCCTTCTTCCACTTCTTCTTGCCGGTGTTCACCGGCGGCGGTAGTGATGGCGGCGGCGAGTCCGGCATTTTCGCCGGCTTGCCGCCGCCGGCGGCGTCGACGATGTGGATGTCCTTGATGATCTTGCCTCCCTTGCATCTGATCCTGCAGCAAAGCCTCTGAGGATCGAACGTGCCGGCGATGACGACGATGTTGTTCTTGGTGTCGTACGAGATCGTCGTGATCCTCTCCTGGTCTGCACAAAAACCAAATCTAATAGGGATTAGTAGACAGTAATTAATTATTTATGTCTTAATCAATGTTTACTACTGGTATTTCGGTATGCACAACTGTCGAGGTTTTAAATCTCCGGCTATATATAACCGCCGCTATCCTAGAGGTAACTATTTGGAGATGATCTGGCTATTTGCTTTCACTTATAATTCAGCCACTATAACCTTATTTAGCCCGCTATTAACCGTTCAAGAAGTGCTATTACTGAATATCTTATCCAACTAATTAAAACACTGACAAATGTAGGGGTTCCCAAAATCAGGAATTTTAGAATACTTCAGAAAATTTGAATATATTTTGCTAAATTCTCACACAAAAATAATAAAAAAGTAATTTTCAAGAGAAATAGTTTCGTGCCAGAGGGTAATTTACAAAAATTGTGAGATTTTGAAATTTTCTAACTGAAATGGCAAACTGTGGGGTTGTGCTAATTGTTTCTTGGTTACTGTCATATACTACTGATAATTTTAACTTGGAGTAGTATTATTGTACAGAATTGAGAGGTCCTTCTTACCTTGGAGATTGCAGAGAATCTTGCGAATTTTATTGTAGCACTTGTGGCAAGCGAGGTCAACCTTAAGGATTAGCGTGGAGATCTGTGTTGACAGCAGCATTATGTTAGTGAGAGGGTAAATATTATTCTTTTTGACGGTGATGGGGTAAGAGAGCATCAATTCTACCAGTGGAGCTATCACCCATAAAAAAATAAAGATATTAATAGCCAGGTCAGGCCTTTCTTGAAAACATTGTACAACACTGTCAAGCAATCGTGGAGCTATTACAGATTCACACGAAAACATATTAATATTTTTTTACCTTACTTAAAACATCGCACAACACTGTCAACTGTCAAGTACTCAAGTTCAATATATATATATATATATATATATATATATATATATATATATATATATATATAATATACAAATTAAGGATTTAAGGACAGGAACAAAACAAGGCAGCAGAAGTGTCAATTCTCACCGTAATAAACAGTAATTTAGTTGTTTATAAAAAAATATTAGAATTTAATTAATTAAGAGAGAGTAATCAATTCACACATCAATTCGATTTATGAGAAACGTATCATATATAAAAGGGAAACCATCGCTCTTCTTCACAAGAAAAACGGATGATTTAGAATAGAAAAAAAATCGACGACGTAAAAAGATTCTGAACTGTTGTGTGAGCATATATTCCTGAATGAAGATGGAGACATAATTCCACAATCGGGAAAAGAAAAACATATTCCTGATCAACATGAAGACAGAAACTTCGAGAATAAATTCCGCAAACTCCAATTAATACCCTCTCAGTTTATTCTGATGAACAACGACATGATAGATAATACACTCACGATTATAACAAACAACAAACTCCAAAAGAATCCGTCAAACACAAAACACACAAATCCTTTGAACAAAGAGATCGATGGACACTACGCACAGGAATAGAGAGAGAGAGAGAGATCGAACCATGATCACCTTCTCCGCCATGCTTATGGTATGAAGTGTGTTAAGTTCCTCCTTTCTTACATGGAGATGGAGAGAGAAATAGAAGAGGAAGGAGCAGCTAGTGTGAAGAGAGGAGATGAAGAAGAGATGGAGGGATGGAGTGATGGAGAGAGATGGGAGATCGAGGCGTGTGGTGTGGGCGCATATAAACGGGCCGGCCAAGCCCACCGACGTCTCTGATCACATGGCCCCACGTTCTGGGACACCGCGCGTGCTGACACGTGTCCCCTCGCACGAAGCTGTAACGCCTCGATCCGTCGCACATGTGCCAGCTTAGCCAGCTTCAGCTCACTGTGTATCAGACATACTTCCTCCATTAAAAAAAAAAAACAATCCTATTCATATACCTGGATATACAACATGTTCAGATACCTCCTTTCAAAAAGAAAAGGAATACGGAGTAGTTTGGTGGTATACATATGATGGTACAAGTATAGCTTATTAATAGGTTAGCCGGTAACAAACTAAATATATATACGGTTCATGGTACACGTATGGGCATATTATACGAGAAGATGTGTGGTCGTGTACGCGAACATTAATTTGTGGAGCATGTAAAGGTACAAATGTAATTTGTGTACCATGTAGGAATTTTCAGTAGTGTGTGCCGACATATTTCATGAGTAAATTTTCGAAAACTATATTAGTTAAACTAACATTAAACTACATATTTAATATGATATATAATGAAACTAGATATTTAATATCAAGTTTATTATAAAACTATAAGTTCAGTAACTATAAGTTTAACGCCAATTTAATTACAAAATTTTGACATCTATACCTTTTGAAAAAAATTCTTCGAGTTTATCTTTCTCATCTGAATTCTACGGTTTTTCTAAGGTCCAATAAAACGGTTATTCCTATGTATTTTCTGCGCTTTTGCAATTCTCTGTTTTGCATTTACAGATGAGTTTAGTTTCAAACTTTTTCTTCAAACTTTCATCTTTTCTATCACATCAAAACTTTCTTACACATATAAACTTCTAACTTTTCTGTCACATCATTTCAATTTTGATGTGAACTAAACACACCCTACATTCCTATTAGAATCCTGTATTTTTTTTCTATTCCCCATTTTTCCGTTCCCGCGATTTAAAGGACCCTAAGTTTTAGAAGTAAATTAATAAGCATTTTATTACCCATTAATTCTGTATACTGGCACGGCTACAGCTGGCAGAGACAACAATGCCTCCAAAGCAACACAGGTACTCCTATGCTGTTACAAGTGTACGAACGCTCACTTTGGAAAACTGACACTTAATTTCTGCGTTACAAGAAGGATGTTGTAATTGTTTTTATTGACCTATTTATTTGGAATATAATCTTCATTACTGCAGTTATTTTTTTACCAACTAATTTAATATTTCCAGCTTAATTTTGATCTCCCACGGTTGCCAGTTGTCACCAACCCCTGTTTCATATATTTTACTACAGTACAGCTAATTTCTCCGCAAACCGGGATGATGTCAATATATACTACATCAGTAGTAATAGGTTTCCAGTAATATGCACCAGAGTGATATTTCACATCAGAAGATACCAAAATATATTCTCTTGTAAAAAATGCGTTACAAACATTCATGTGTGTTGAGATGTGTTGCTTTTCTCTGTACAAGGTAAGCAATAACTCTGTACACGTGAAGAAGTTGAAAACAATGCCATGCGTACACTTCAGCAGAATCACACACACATATAATCCAGTTTATAGAGAAAATCAAACCCAAGGTTGTGTCTAGTTTGCATCATATCCTGTGATGCATGATGCCTCTGGCAGATTGGGTAGAAAAGCACAAGAATCACTCACATCAGTAATCCTTAGTTTCAGAGGGACAAGAATTATGTCTGTAATATAATTAAATGACCAGAATGTGGAAGGTAACTAGCTAGCTAGGCTAATTAAGGTAGGAGATTCTCCTAATTAATCCATGGATAAAGTTAACTAGCTAGAAGTTTCTGACGAGTTATCTTTCTAACTTGACGATCGCAAGATTCGACATGAACTTTGTATGTGACACCAACTTTTACCACCTGATCACTGACAAGAAACTACTAAATTAACCAACTGCTTGTGCTCACTTTCTCTGAAAATGTAGTAGTCGAACTCCATCTACTACAGATTAATTACTATTCATTAATTCACTGATCGAGGAAGGAGTTGTGCAAATAGCAACAAAAGGGAACCATTGTACAGTCCTGAAGATGAAACAACAACTTAAAAGGGATCTGCTTCTAAGTTCTATGCTCCTCAAGAGAAATCCAAGTTAAAACTAAATTGAGTGCACGCATATCTGTCACTTTGTTTCCGTTGAATTGTGTTTCTCAAGCTCCCTGCAGCACTGGATTCAGTTCTTTCCCCCAACTTTCCCAACTCACCTCTCTCGTGTTTCGCACGCACGCTTTTTAAAATGTTAAATGGTGCGTTTTTTTTAAAAGGGTTTTATATGAAAGTTGCTTAAAATAATCATATTGATCTATTTTTTTAAAAAGAAACTAATACTTAATTAATCACGTGCTAATAGATCGCTCCATTCCATACGCTGAAAATATGTTCCCAACACTGGAAAACAAACACAGCCTGAATATAGCATGAACAGCAATAGAAAAATGCACTAAAGGTAAGATCTAGCCTAAAAGATAACAGAGACGTGTTAAATTTACCCCTTAAGTTTATTTTTGGATTTCTGTGTCTAACCTTTGATTGTCCGTCTTATTTAAAAAAGATATAGAAAAGCTAAAAAAAATTAGTCACATATAAAATACTATTCATGTTTTATAATCTAACAACAATAAAAATATTAATCGTAAAACTTTTTAAAATAAAACGAAGAGCCAAACGTTATATAAAAACTAAAAACTGAACTTTTTATTGGACGGAGGTAGCTTTCCGCAGGAAAGAGTGTGGTGTTAGCAGTTTGGTGCCGTCAAGGAGGAAAGCGAAGGCCATGGAATCGTATTCCCTGTTGCACAGAGCGTGCACGTACATGAACAACTTAGAAAGGAGGAATGAACATTCGAGACTTTTTTTCCTTTTGAAAGATGAAATTAAAGCTGGTCCAGCTGTGAGTGTGAGCTATAGCTAGCTAGCTAGAGCATCACATTGTTGGTTTTTCTGAGATAGTTAATTAAGCTAGTCTTGTTGCATAAGGAAGGATGGTATAAAGTGATAAATGAGGAAAGTTAAGCTAGAACTTCCCATTAGGAAAGCTGGACATCATATATAGAGAGCAACATGTTAGTAGCTTGTTGAAAAAAACACATGTTTATATTCATTTTGGTTTAGGGCTACAGTGCACTAGTTTTCTTTTTCTGATAATTAGCACCCTAGATTTTTTAGGTCCAATTCTTTTCCTCTCAAACTTATAAACAGTGTGCAATTTGCAAAAAGAAAAAACTCAAACTTTCTCTCTCTATATATATGTAAATTGCTTAGAACATGTTTTAAAATAACTTTTCAATTTTATAGTAGTTAATTTATTTATTTGTACCCTCGTATATCATCAGAAAATATATAATCTATCACCTATTCAATATTCATAACGATCAGTGATGGTTGATTCAGTGGCACGCCTTGCCGGATATGGGCCGCAGGGCCAGGAAGGTTCAATGTGGTGAGGACAACTCTGGGTACGCGTGAAGGGAATAGTAGGTAAAAAAAGGGTCAAAACGGCTGTGTTCGCCATTCATTTCCCAACCCGTAATAGTACGCACGGAAAATGGAGCGATCCATTAGCGTATGATTAATTAAATATTAGCTATTCTTTTTAAAAATAAATTAATTTATTTTTTAAGCAACTTTCGTATGGAAACTTTTTTTAAAACGTATCGTTTAATAGTTTGAAAAGCGTGCGCGCGGAAAATAAGGGAAAAGAGTTGGAAAAAGGGGTGCCGATCACAGCCTAAGGTAATCTAGCTAGGTCATCAACATTTGACTTATTGTTTTCATTGTCATGTCCCTGAACATAATAAAGGTACAATTAATTTACGGGTTATATTGATTTGTATAGAGAGGATCCTTCTCTAGTAATGCCACTTTGAAATTTTTGGACATCCAAGTAGCTAGGCTGCATAATGGGATTCCAAAAGTTTTTGGCCCTGTTTAGTTCCCAAAAACTTTTCACAAAAACATTACATTGAATCTTGGATATATGTATGGAGCATTAAATATAGATAAAAAGAAAAACTAATTGCACAGTTCACATGTAAATCGTGAGACGAATTTTTTGAGCCTAATTAGTCTATGATTAGCCATAAGTGCTACAGTAACCCACATGTGCTAATGACAGTTTAATTAGGCTCAAAAGATTCGTTCGCGGTTTCCAGGCGAGTTATGAAATTAGTTTTTTCATTCGTATCCGAAAACCCCTTCCGACATCCGGTCAAACGTCTTATATGACACTAAAAAATTTTCATTTCACCGCTAATCAGCCCTTTGTTGTTTGGTCAACTGGGCTTACCTTTGAACTAGGCACTAGCTAGACTCTCTGTGCTCCTAGACTGCTATTTCGCTTCAACACAAATAGCAGACTAATATTGACGCAGCGCAAAACATACAGAAGACCAGCCTTTTGGCTGTGTTCGTTACTAGCGGTTGGAACCCATCTCCTCCACATGAAAACGGAGTAGTCCATTAGCGCATAATTAATTAAGTACTAGCTATTTTTTTTTAAAATAGATTAATTTAATTTTTTAAGCAATTTTCGTATAGAAACTTTTTTTTTAAAAAACGTACCGTTTAGTAATTTGAAAAGCATGTGTACGGAAAACGAGGGAGGGGGTTGGGAAGAGGCTGAAACGAACGCAGCCAGCAAGTGTATATAAAAGTAGCAAGTGAAAGGAGAGGCAGACACACACACATATATATATATATATATATATATAGGACACTCATATGGGGCACCATGGTGCCCGGGCACCATGGTATCTAATGCACAAAATCACTCAAATTTTTCAAAATTTTCAAATTGTGAGTATATACCTAGTTATAATAATTTGATTCATACCTATACTTATCAACAAAACAACTCAAATTTAACTTTATTTCACAATCCATGATTACATACCTAACTAATTATATGTATGGATGCTATATACCTAGAATCAAAATCTAACAAAAACAAGTTCAAATTCAG